AAATGGACACAAAATAAAACAAGAACTAAGCTACTGGAAAGCCACCCCCCAGCCCTTCTCCTCCTCCTGTGATGGTAACTGCTCTGGATTTGATGCTTCTTGTTCACAGATTTTAGGTGTTTCCACTTATTACTGTACCTGTAATTCTATACGTACGCACACCACGCACATACATAGTTTCTCCTTTAAAAACTGCCTACAAATAGCTTCTTACTGTATGTATGGTTTCCCATATTGCTTATTTGCCAACACATTTTCCAGGAAGCTTGGATTCCTAGTTCTGAGACATTTCTGAGACTGCACTCTGGCCTCACTTCCGGAGGTGACCTGTACGTCCTCCCAGCCTCACCTTGCTGCCGAGGTGTCCACTCTTCATCAGACTCCTCAGTGTCATCCACCGGGGGGTTGCTGGTTCGCCTTCATTGACACATGAAAGCCGGTCGATGGGGTTTGAGACCTGGAAGGAACAAAATCTTCCTCCTGTAAGGGAACGGCTGGGAGGAGAGACAAAAGGCAGTGGCAGTGGAAATGACAGAGGCCAGGTGGGCAGGGGAAGTGGACATGGCCTCTCCAAGTGTTGGAGCAGGGCTCAGCTCTGCACTGGGCAGAACAATGAAGTTCCCTCCAGACTTGACTCCATGTGAAAGGGAGCTGTGTGCTGCCCCTAAGACAGAGCTGCAGGGACATAGGGACCGGAGGCCTCCTGTTTCCAGGCTAGTCTGACCCAGGATTTCTTGTTACCTATAGAAAGCATCATATTGTAGTTGTTTTTCACATTCCTGTAGTGTTTTTTCTCAAACTTTCCCATCCTGGCCCATTCTTCCTTGGAGAAGTATCTGGAAATGTCCTTGAAAGCATCTTTGACCTGGAGAAAAGAGATTCCGTGTGATATGCCAGCCCAGCTCCCAGGATGGAGTTTCCTCCTCTCCTCCACTGCACCTGTGGGGCCCAGCCTGGCTCTGGGTCTCTGTGAGGCAGACTGACCGTGCTTCCCCCAGACACCTGTGTGCCCTGAGCAGCAGTTGTCCCCACAGCCTGGGCCACACCCGCACCCCCACCCCAGGGTCTGGTCCCCACCTCCCTCCGCAGACCCTGCCTGGGCCGGGCCTGGCCTCCCCAGCACGCATCTACCTTGGGCTTCTGCCTGGCTTCCGAGGAGCCCTCCTCCGGGCTGTCTTCCAAGGAGCTCTGGGCACTCATGGAGCCTGGACAGCAGCCAGGGAGGTGCAGGCACCTGTGGAAGGACAGGAGCTGAGGGCCGGGCTCTCTGCTGGCCCCAGAACGGGGGGACCTGGGAAGGATGGCCTGAGGGTCTGGGACAGGAACCCAGGCAGAGGAGCCCCTTCCTTCCTCTGTGCATGCCCAGGGGCCGTGTGTGTACATGTGAGTGCGCTGCAAAGGTGTGGAGCACTCCAAAACAAACCGTAAGCCTAGCCTTGTCCCTACCCTATCCCAAACCTAACCTAACCCCAACCCTAACCCCTAGCCCTAGGCCTGAGCCTAACCTGACTAGCTCTAAATCTAACTGAGCAGGAGGGGTCATCCACAATCCTGTGAGGTTCCAGGAGCTGGGGTTTCCACCTGGGGACTCCGGGTTGGGGGCAGTGTGTGGGCCTTGGTGGGCATCCATGGTCAGGGTGAGATGCGTTTCCAGGTCGAGGTGATTGGGGGAAATTCAGGCTGAGGCTGAAGAAACGAGGGTTTCTGAGGTGGGCAGGGTGGTGCACGCCTGTCTTCCCAGCACTCGGGAGGCTGAGGCAGGAGGATCGCCACTGGTTTGAGCCCAGCCTGGGCTACACAGTGAGTTTGGGGCTAGCCTGAACTACAAAAGGAGACCTGCCTCAAACAAACAAACAAGCAAACCCTAGGGTTTCTTGGGGGGAGGTTGTGGTGGTCACTGGCACTGAGATAATTGGGGGATTTCTTATAGGGTGATTTTGGGGTCTATAGGGCTGAGATAATTAGGGTTTCTCAGGAGGGAGTTGGTTGGGGGTTCCTTGGGTTGTGGTCATTTGGTGTCCTTGGGCTGAAGAAATTGGGGTTCCTCAGGTTGGGGGTGTTTGGGGTCCTTGGGCAGTTGGCATTGGTTGGTGTTTTTTGGGTGGAGGGCGTTTTGGGGTTCTTCAGGCCGAGGGAACTGCGTCACAGGGAGGACAATATTTGGGATCCCTGAGCTGACAGAATTGGGGCTTCTTCGGTAGGATGTATTTCCCTTTCTGCTGAGGGAAGCGGGGCTTCTCAGAATGACAGAAGTGGGGTTCTTGCCTGGGGAGCATCGGGGGCCCCATGGGTTCAGGGAGTCGAGGCTTTATGGGTGGAGGATCTTTAGGAGCCCTAGAACTGAGAGAACTAGGATTTCTGTCGGTGGGGAGGGGCACGGGGTCCCCGGGCTGACAGAACTGGGTTTTCTCTGGTGGGGGATATTGGGGGTCCCTTGTGCTAAGGAACACGGGTCATCTTGGAGTGACGGAACTGGGATTCGTAGCATGGGGAATGTCGGGGTCCCGTGGACCGAAAGAAAGAGGGTATCTTGGGGGGACGTGGGGTTCCTGTGCAGACAGAATCGGGGCTTCTTCGGAATCCCGGGGCTGGTGGCATTGGGCTCCTGGGGTGGGAGATCCTTGGGGTGTCCGGGCTGACCGGGGCCCTCGGGGGCAGACGTTCGGGGCCTCAGGCTGGGGACTTGAGGTTCTCAGGGAGGGTTGCGTGGGACTGGGGCGCTGGGCGGGCTGTGGGGCGTCGCCGGCTGAGGGCTTTGGGGCTTCTCACGCGGGCCGGAGCTCTCGGCGGGTACTTGGGGTATTCGGGGTGCCCGACGCCTTGGGGCTCGGCGGGGCTGTGGAGGCCATGGCCAGTGCCAACGGAACTCGGCTCCCTCAGCTCGGGCTCGCACACACTGACGTCTGAGGACCTGGGGCTGCGGGGCTGAGGTGTTCGGGAGCCCGGTCTGGGGCAGTGGGGCGCGGGGCCTCCGACAAGGATCCAGGGTGTAGGAGGGAGACGCAGAGGAGCCCGGACCCCAGGCTTTGGGGCTCCCTCTGGAGCGGGGTTCAGGTCCCTCAGGGCGGCGGGGCTCGGGGTCTCTCAGGGCCCAGGGACTTGGGAGCTCGGGGGGGCTGGGGGATACTGAGTTCCCACCTGAGACAAGGAGGTCATGCCGAGGATAGGGAGGCTGCTCCCTCGGCCACCACACACTCCTGACTGCAGACCACTGGGCGCCTCAGAAGTCACTGCGTGGGATAGGCTAGATGCAGCCAATCAGCACGGAGAACAAAACCGCCTCACCAATGGGTGCTCAAGACCCCATTGGGGCAGGGCGGAGGGCGGAGCAAGGCCTGTCAGTCACCGGTGACCCCGAACTGGGTGCGGGTGGTGGGTGGGGCCTAATTTCCCCGCCCTGCGGAAGGTCCCACCCCCCACCGCGATTGGCTGCTGGGGTCCCAGGCAAGGCCACCAGAAAAGGGGCGCAGGCTGGTGGGCATCTCGGGGCTGGCCCTGGGGCGAGCCTAGGGCAGGGCGAGGCTCCAGATCGGAGGAGGGTAGGTTGGGCTGAGGGAGAGTCTGGGCTCGGGCTGTAAGGCGAGCGTCAGGGATGAGGTGAAGGTCTAGGGCAGGTGAGGGTCGGGTTCCGGTTGGGGTGCAGGGGGTGCGTGGGGACGAGCGCAGTGGGGATGGGGAGGCCCCGGCCTCAGAGCCCCAAGGGACTCCAGAGCGGGGAGGCAGAGCTCAGGGCTCAGGGCAGGGAATGGGGCTGGGAACAGGAAGCACAGACAAATGCAACCCTTGAAGCTCAAGTTGCTCTGATACAAAAAGCATCAAAGGAAATTTTAAAATATGGGCCACGCATTTTAAGGAACATAGGTTCAAAAGTTGTCAAGTTGTTGCACACAGAATGCAGCAAGTTGTTAAACAGATCCTAAGGGGCCAGGGATTTAGCTCAATCCAAAATGGGCAGTTGAAACGAAGACACGTTTCTCAAAAGATGAAGTACAAATAAATCCATGGGAAAATGTTCAGCATCTTCACCACAGAGAAAGGCTCTGAGATTTCCTCTCACTTCAAGAAAACTGGCTACCACCGCTAACTTCAATAATGAGAAATGCTGGCATGGTTTGGAGAAAAAGAAACCCTTCTACAATGTTGGTGGGAAATAAACGAATACAACCTCTGAAGAAACCAGTGTGGAAAACGTTCAGAAACTTAAAAAATAGGAACCTGACCAAACTCTACCTCTTCCAGATGGGTTCTCCAAAGAATGTGACATCATAACACAGTGATATCTGCATACTCATGTTTATAGCAGCACAATGCAGTGCTTCAATCTTGGAAACAGCCAATATGTCCATTGATAGAGGAACAGATAAGAAAATAGGGTATATATGTAGAATGGAGTACTCCTGAGCCACAAAAAGGAATAGATGAGTCATTTGTAGAAAAATGGATGCTCAGACCATAACACAACAGAAAATGAAGCAGACTGTAGGTTCAATATTGCATGGTTTATTTTATAGGAGAAACCTAAAGTATAAATGATTTAAAGATCACAATAAAAGACAGACAACAGGAAACAGACATTTTGAATATGAGAAGATCTAGGGATAGAAGGAAGAGAGGGTAGGGAAAGAAGAAATGCTAAATATGTCTCAGCTTTAATGTGTGTGTATTCCAACTTCCAAGAATGAATTAATCAACTATTTATCACAAGTATAAAAATTAAATAAGTAAAACTATATTAAAAGAAAATGGCTCATTTCACAGGTGCAGGGATGGCGCATTTTAGAGGAGACAGCCATCTAGTACATTGTTGTTTTCTATCTTAAGTTTAATTTCTGTACTTTAACAGGAAAGTTAATTTTTTTGGTGTTTTTTGTTTTGTTTTTTGGTACTGGGGATCAAACTCGGGACCTTGCGCTTGCGAGGGAGGTGGCAAAACCACTGAGCTAAATCCCCAGCCCCTTTTTTTTGGTGGTTTTTGAGACAGGGTCTCACTGTGTAATTCAGGCTGGCCTGGAACTCACTATGTAGCCCAGGCTGGCCTTGATGTCACAGCGATCCTCCTGCTTTGGCCTCCCAAGTGCTGGGATGACAGGCATGCACCACCACGCCTGGCAGGAAATTTAATTTAGGAACACAGTATATTTAAGATTTTGGTGCCGTAAGCCTGAAAAAAGACAATAAACAAGACTAAGTACTATGGTTCCTGTTTAGATGCCCCCCAAAGCCTCATACAGTTATAGGTTTTTTTGATGTAGGAAATATGTATGCTCAGGATAAAATGACCTCTATTTTCACCTTTCCTCTAGCTAGAATAGCAGTATGCACTATGCAATGTCTTCATGATGACAAGAATGAAAAATGAGCTGCAGAAAAATCAGACCCATGTTCAAGCATGTAAAAGCCAATACTACATTCTGCAATGCAGTATACTTCATGGAGCACACGAGACATTTAATATTTCATTATAAAATAGATATATTTTTTGTCAGACATGGTGGTAATTTCCTTGGGAGGCTGAGGACCCCCAAGAGTTCAAAATCAACCTTGTCTACATGGTGAGACCCTGTCTCAAAAACCAAACTGAGCAAACAAATAAGACATGGTTTTTATACTATTGCCCACCTGATGGCTAATTTAATTGTCTAAGCATAATGAACTTAGGTGAGATAAGGTTCACTCTTCCCAATATCAGGACTACTTAATGCACTTGCCACTTATGCTTTGACCTTGAATTACTGAAGTGCAACCATGGTAAACTGAGCAGCTACCGAATTAAAAAAAAAAACAATGCAGAATATTTTACAAAGCACTTCAGTATTAGGAAATAAGGAGGTAAAATGAGTCAAGGATGCCAGCTGGTCTGACACTGATGGCCTGCACAAATCTTACGCAGTAGAAGTGACATCACTTCCTGCAATCATCAGCCATACTTACTGATGATGACAAAAAGCAGTGTAAGTTTATCTCTAAAGTTGATAAAAGAACACAGATGAATCAAAAAACTTACTTTTTCTCTTTTTTACTCACTGATTTGATTTCTAGCTTTAAAAAAATTGATCCAAACACATATGGCATTCACAGCATCAACAAACTAGAATAAAGACTCTGCTTCATTAGAAAGAATAGAAATCATTCTGTCAAAACAAAGTTCAACACTGTAGAAAACTCCTGAGAATGTTCTGGCTGACAAATCACATCATGGTATACACCTTGTAGAAAGATGAATGACTATAATTCATGGTATGTTCTTTGAGAAAAAATATGGTCCTGCTGCTCTCTGGCAGTGGTGAACTCACAGAAATACAGATATTTGTAGCATAGGGGATTGAAAAATTACCACCAATATAAATCATCACAATATACATGTGAAAGGTAAAATTTAATGATAAAAATAACTAATATTCTACACACGATAATAAGAGCTCTGATGCAGAGGAATCAGGCAAAATTATGCACTGCATATAATCTGTGATTATGGTGGGATATACATATCTTCTTAGAATATGAAACCTAATACTAATTTACACGTTGTTTGAAAACGAACTCTTAAATACATGTACAGAAATTAGTAATAAAAGTCTAAAACATGACGAATTTAAAGCATCTTGCTAGACTGTATCAAAGTTGAGACAAAAACTAATAGAAAAATAACAACTCTTAAATAAAATTAAATTTTAGACTCCTATTAACCCACAAAAATTAAAAGCAAAGGAAAAAACCTCTACAAAATATTCAGCCTCCAAGGCTGTAAGAAATACAACGCAATCGATTTGTGGGTCTGACATAGTGCAACATAAAGGATACAATTATCATCTCATCGAAGATACAGTATTGAACTCCCACACTGCCGCTACAAGAATATACAGAATTAGCCGGGATTTAGCTCAGTGGTTCTGCCACCTGCCTCGCAAGGGCAAGGTCCCGAATTCAATCCCTGGTACCAAAAAACACATATACAGAATTATGTGAGCATAACATTTATTATTAAAACTGAATTTAAAATTCTTTTATCAAGAGATCGACTCTCAGACTGAATTCAAAACATATATATATTTATATATATATATTTTTAGGACACCTCTGCTTGGGTATTTTCTGTAGAAATAGTGAAGATCTAATTTTGTGTGACACAGTTTTTTTGGTTTAAAGGACATGAAAAGTGATCAAAGGATTTGGAATACATGAGTTATAACTGAGAACTTTGAACATTCATAGGGATTTCACACAATATTCATTCTTTGAGACAGGACAACCGATGATGTGTCCATCCCTCATATTAAATGTTTCTCACAGTACTGTTTATTTGGAATGTGAATTAAACTAAAATGACTACAGGGATTCCCATGTAATATACATCGATGTGAATTTTTCCACTATGAAATGCCGTGTGTCATGAAAAGTCATGTAAAAATGAAGATTTCTCATGTTCTGTATTTATACTAATGCTCATAATGCAGTTTCTAATATTATGGGTTTCTCACATTAACAGGGTTTCTATTTAGTGGGAGTTCTTACAGGTATTTCACGGTAAGTGCAGGGAGTGAAGGTTTCATAAATACATATTTCCCTTCTATGTTACTTTTCACATATATGAGTTTTTTGAGAAAAAAACCCCACCTCTCCCACATTGCTCACATATGTTCTGTTCACTATGAATTCTTACATGTATGTAATGATACATGTGTGGACTAAAAGAGGATTTATACTGTTTACACGACCAAGGAGATTCGTGTCAGGGAATCTAGTTATTTTACGCCTTTACTAAGGGGTACATGATGCCTACTGCAGTGAGAGATTTTCCTTCTTTACACACAGCCTTCTCACAAATGTATCTTCTTTCATGTATTTGACGATACCTCTGTGTACTGAATATATTCACACATTGATTACATACATACATTTCCACAGTGTGCTCTTTCATGTCTTTGACAATTTCTATGTGTTTTGAAACCTTTCCCACATTGCTTACATACATAGGGTTTGTCACTACTGTGAGTCTTTTCATGTTTTTTAAAATAACTGTGTGTGTTGAAAGCTTTCCCACATTGCTTACACACATAGGGTTTCTCCCCAGTGTGAATCCTTTCATGTATTCGCCAACTATCTTGTCTGCTGAAAGCTTTCCCACATTGCTTACATACATAGGGTTTCTCCCCAGTGTGAGTCCGTAAATGTATCTGACAATGAGTGTGTGTTCTGTAAGCTTTCCCACATTGCTTACATACATACGGTTTCTCCCCAGTGTGAGTCCGTTCATGTCTTTGAAGATAAGCCTGTCTGCTAAAAGCTTTTCCACATTGTTTACATACATAGGGTTTTTCCCCAGTGTGAGTCCGTTCATGTGTCTGACAAGTACCATATGCACTGAAAGCTTTCCCACACTGCTTACATACATAGGGTTTCTCTCCAGTGTGAGTCCTTTCATGTGTTTGACAAGTACCATATGTGCTGAAAGCTTTCCCACATT